GGTTCAGGTATAGCCGTCCTCAATTCTTAAATACTGTCCAGAGGAAAAACAGCAAGCTAGTAACACCCGCCTCCACGCGGGCTTTTTCCAGGTCTTTTGAACTGAACAAATAAATTGAATGGAACTTGTATAACGCACACACAACTAGAAATGAAGAACTTGTTCAGAGAAATCACGTCTCAAACCTTGGACGCTCCATTTCACGACTTTACACGTTACATCCTAGGACACACCAGGCTCAGGAGCTTCGGAAATTTGCCCTTAAATGATAAAGAGATTGTGAGATAAAAAAATAATAGATGAAACTTTTTGAGTTATGTGATTGATCTTCAGTGTAGCCTAGAACTTTGACCTACATTTTATCAAAAGTCAATCATTTGGTCCAGGGCAATAATTTCAACTTCAAGGTACTCAAAATCCACCAGTAAAGCTTACAAAATTTCACAAATTAGTTTTATTTTCATTTTCTAGGCTTAACAACAGCCCTTAGATTTATTAATATTCATTCCCAAAAATTCTGATAAAATATAACAGTAACTTCGATACATTTTCAAGACACTCTACATCTAGCGAATCATGTGAACATTTAAGCCAGAATGCTTACTTATAAATGCATAGATCAATCTCCTAAACTGCCCCTTTTGTTTTTATGTGTGTTGCTTGAAACTTAAATAAACTGAAATATTCACCTCTTTTGTATTATAATATTAGCCAAGTTTAAATTATGTTCTTAATATTTAAAAAGTTTATTTTAACGATAATAATCTCGTCATAAAAAAACAAGCTTTTTTCCACTCACGTGTGTGTGTTTAGGTTGGTTTAATTTTTACCACGCCGTCGCTTTTATGAAAAAGCTACTTGATTATGCTCAAACTCCTGACTTTTGTTTTCCTAGAGTTTTAACCACACCTCGTTGCCGCCTAGCGTGAACTAAGCCAAGGTCTTAAATGGCAGTATCGTACCAGGTAATGCTATCTATACCAATGGCCAGGTGGCGCATGGTAAAATGAGGTTTCAAGCTTCTTGTTCCCTGGTGTGAGAAACTATAGTCACTAGACCTAGGGACCAATCCAAAATATGGAAATTTTATCTGCTCGGAATTTACAACCTATTCTAAATGTTTTAAGATATTTTTTTAATCATAGGTTCTGTCCTAAAAAGCGGATTTACAAGCTCGTTTTTCTTTTTTGGATTGTAACGTGCAAGACGTTGAATAATTTTAATAAAGTGAATCAACCGGAGACTACACGTACCATCCGAATCTAATTGTGAGCCGTATAAAATTTCAGGCCATTTGTTTATTTTTTTTTTATGGTGAACACGTTCAAAGATTCTTTAATCAATGTTAACACCAACTGATGAATAGTAAACTATCTTTCACATTGACTGTGTTCTTCACGAGATAAGCCCTCCAAAACAACTTGGAACAGGTTTAACAAACATACAAAACATGAAGGATATTTTGTGACTTGAGATTTTATATGTTAGTGATACCTCGTAGACGTTTTTCAGCTTAAAAAAAATTTTTTTTCTTTGATTAAGCTACTATGTACATCGTTTGGGTATATGTGTGCATTATATGAGTCATAGGCAGCGGAAATACTTTGAATTTTGAGAGGCACAATCCTCGAGGGACACCTTTAGCATTTTAAATTTAAATCGAACCAGTAAATAACGCTGACAACTACAACCCGCCTTAAATTTTAGGCTCTACCGCATTTAATATATCTTTTATGTTACAGTTTTTAATTTTGAAAGGGAGGCACTTTACTACTTTGCAAAAAAAAAAAAAGAAAAGAAAGAAAAGTAGGGGCACGTATCCCCAGTGCCTACAGTTCCGTTTCTTATGATAAGAGTGATGGTCAAAAATTCAACTATTTCTTTAGAGTAGCTGAAGAGTTGGCGGGTGATGATGCTTATTTGCTACCTTCACTCCAGTCTAATACTTCAAAATGAGGAACGGCTAATGCAGATAGCCTTATCTTCCCAGTGGCACAGCGGCATGTCTACGGACTTACAACGATAGAAACCGGTGGTGGGCAGAGCACAGATAGCCCATTCTGTAGCTTTGGGCTTAATTTCAAACAAACAAAGATAGCCGTAAATAATTTTGTGCGAAAATCAATAAACTTGTTTG